AAAAAAAACTTGATTCATTGGGTTGGCAAGATTTGGAGTAAAATTTCTTTTTTTTTACTTTGACTTTATTTTCAGCCTTGTTCAAAAAGTATTTGAAATGGCTTACAAAAATACATGCAATAAGATTTTTTTAAGGTAATAAATCTTGACATTCATGATAAGGGGAAAATTGTTATAAAATATAATAAGAAAGTGGGGGAGATGTATAAGAACACAAGAGGGCTGGCCATAAAATTAGCTGTAATCGCAGCCTACCACAACCTTTAATTTCAAGAGTTTGGGGACATATCTCCCTTAGTGCTCTTTGCATTTCCAAAAAATCCACCATTATAGATTAATTAACACAGTAAATAGCATAACTATCATTGACTATAGACTGAACAGGAAAAAAAGATAAAAACCATAGATTTGCTATATTCTTTTAAATTCGATTCCCCTCAGTAGAGATAACTAGTTACTAGTTAATATCTTCTTAAGGATGAATTAACTGATATGCTAGGACGAGGTTAGCATTCAGAAGTAGAACAGACATGCAGGACTTCCAGAACAGCTTCCCCTACTCTAGTTCTAAAATCAGACTCTTTTTTTTTGCTCTTCCCTCCTGAGTCCCAAAGAACCATTTCTAAGATGCTGGGATGCTGTCTCACAGCCTTTTCCAAAAGCGTAAGAACTCCTGTCTGTCATCAGCTTTACTCACACTGTCCTTTCTAGCATTACCTGAGTTTCTCTCCCTTGCTGTGTAGCTCCAGCACTCTGCCCATGACATTTTCTCCAAGGGGGGCTCTCAGCATAAAGAAATCTAGTCTCATGACCCTTTCCCGCACATTATCGTCATTACCACCCATGTTTTCCTTAATGGGTCCCTTTTCACAGCCTCCCTCCCTCCTCGCCTTGCATGGACTCACTGTTCTCTCTACACATCCTAAGAGAACATTGCTCAAAGTGCAACTGTAGCATACCTCCACCTGGACCATGACATGGCTGTGACCTCTAAATTCCAGTGACCCGTAATGTATGCAGCCCTCCTTGTTACTGAAACACTCTCTGCGGTGTGCTCTTCACTAACTGGACCCTTGGGCATCTGTTTTGCCTTCTTAGTAAAATTGTAGGCTTCTGAAAGAAACTGTCTTTAATTTTATTTTGTACTCCCTTAGCAGTAAGCACGGTGCTGTGCATTCAAAAGGTACAGGTTTACACAATATGGATTTAAAAGTTATGTTTCTTTGAAGTAATTTTTGAAAACTGATACTACTTTAAAAAATAAATGAGAGGTAGCAATTCAAATGAAGCTGGCAATAGTTTTTTAAATAAATTAATAATGACTTCCTAATTTTTTATTTTGAATATTTGGAATGTATTGGCATATATATTCTTAGCATATATATCTAGTTTAAGGTAAATA